TCGCTAAATTACCATATAAATTAAGTTGGTTAGCATCGAATGCGTGATAAGGCAAAATTGTTCACAAGTTACTGAAAAATGCTACAAACGCAAGAAAGTTACCGAAGATAAGCACAAGTAGCGTAAGCAACATGGCCAGTTAATAGAAGATTATTCATGTAGGCAGAACAAACCAAATAAAGTGGAATGAAATTTAGCCAGCCTAAAAGGACCTAGTTTAAGTGTAAGTTGGTTTAGCCCAACTGCGGTGAAGAAGCATCAAGAATGCAACATCACCCTCAGCACGGGGCACGTTCTTCATTATACACACAAACACTGACACAATTTCCGTCAATTTTTATACAGTACCTTTCCACAGGACTTGGTAAGCATTAACTTTCCTGCCATTGGCTACAATTATGTGGTTCTGCCGCATCACTTATTCGCGTCCACGAAGCATATGAATGTGGGTAGGCCATGGAACACGTCGGCCCGTTTAACGGACATCCTACTTCATTCGCGTTTAAGCACTTTCGCTATGCACAGCGACGAGGAAGTACAGCCAATCCCTAACAAAATGTGCAAAAATATAGAATACTATAACGTGATGGTAGAATGTGTGGGGCTCGTAAATCAAGAAGCTTCTAGTCCTTGACTTTGGTTCACTTCAAAAAATATGATGTATGATTATTAATGATGCCGTGTTCACGTCTTCTGTATTTCCCTTTTTCTTTGTAATTTTCACACGCTGTCAAGGGCGCCTGCAAACTGTGAAAGGATTTTTAAGATTCGTCGCAGCTAGGCTCAATTAGATGACAACCTCTCATTCAGAAAAGAGTTACTAGATTTGTGCTGTGTCTCCCTGAATCACGCTAAGACGAATCTTTTCAAAAAACTATTCAAAGTAATCCCCCAACTACTCACTAAGTTCAATAAAATATCAGTTGTTAGCGGAAAATGCCAACTGTTTTATTTCAAAGGAATATTGTGACGTCATTTTACATGGTTTACTTTGACTTGGTAACTACGCAGCCGTAAAAATTTCACTTTGGGTTATGAGTATAGCGTCAAATTTTGTGAAAACGTAACTTCATTCCGCGTGCGCAAGATGAACTACGGGTGAACAACATGTGTTCTGCATTATAGTACCTTCGGAGTTGTTAGTATCACTGTTCATTACACTTCTGCGTATTTGCAATATTCTTTATTGAATATATGCAAAGAATCACACCAACGCGCTGTTTCCAGTATTATGGTACCCTGAACGAGTACCGTCATTTCATTAAGTGAAAAATGAAAGCTTATCTCCTAATTGTCTACTGTTAGATTGCAGAATATTTAACCATTATATTGTTTTGTGGAAATAGCGTTTCCCATTCACGAAGCTTGATGTGGCATTTGTGAATGCTGGTAGAGCTACGGGTGTCAAGCTGCATGCCGATAACGCGCGGTTGCAGATCGTTTTCCGTGTACTTTCTGGGAAATGTCAGCTGAGATTTGCACCATCTGTTAAATAGGTATGAGGCCATCATTGTCTATAGGTGATGCAACTTTATCGGAGAGCTTAGGCTGTTAAGCATAACTAAGCCACAATAAAAGCAATATCTCTGATTGTTGTGCAGCGGTGGAACCATTATGAAACGACCGATAGCAGTGACTACTTGAGTGAGACAACATATTATGTTGCCAGATTATATGAAGTAAAACATGAATTATTTCGCAGCACACTTGCCAGAAACACGATTGCTGTTGACTCGACAGACACTGTCAAATGAAGTACATGATTTTGATTAAGCTAATCCAAGAATGGGCATAAATCTTGAGCAAACTGAATGAACATTTTCAAACGTTCCATATTTAAACTTAATGCAGATAAATTTTGCGATTGTATTAAAAATGACTATAACAAGTTACCCCAGGTGTTCACGGGATACACACAAAGTTCACTTTAAACTCATATCTTGAAATCTAACAACGATGGCACGTGACTCGCCCAAACAACCGTGCGGTGTTGATTAGTTAATGAGGAACAGTACAAGGACCATCAGCATTGGCATCCAGGTCAGTGTAAGGAACGGCTAGGGGATACGAAAAAACCGTGAATAGTCCAGCATTTTAAAAGTAATGCATTCAAATCTTTGTTTTTGATGCATCATAAAATATACCACAGTCATCGTTTTGCCATCTTAGATTGTTGCTCCTTCTGTTCTTGTATGGTCAAGTTCCAGCATACCCTGCACCCAGGTTTGTAAGAGGTGAATAAATATAGTCATTTTATTATTATAGTGATGATTTATGTTTTCCGTAATTGAGCCGTCCGATAATTACCAAGCATTTTTTCTAGTATTAACCTTCTTATTCAAAATAATTTGTCGTAACCCAGATTATTATGTTCAGTAATGCTGAAGTAGACATCCTTCGATGGAGATAAGCAGTCTATTCTCTAGGCTGTCGAACGTTAATTTATCAAATTTATACAGAATATTGTATTTAAGGGTACCTAATCAAAACCGAGATGAAAGTATGCGCAACACGAATATCAAAACAGTTTGTTCCTTTTAGCAATTTTAAAATTGCGGTTAGAAGGTAAATGCTAGTAGAAGCATGCATTTCTTACTTTCTTTTGATGTGAGGAAACAAGCATGAAGTGTAAAGTTAATCACCGAAGTTCCACCCCTGTGTCCATGGCAGCATTAAGCTGACAGCTACTTGTTCTTACTCATATAGAACCGGATGCATCCAGCTTATTGAAACAGCCTTAACGAAACGGAGAAAGCGGAGCTTAGGGTGACGCAACACAGTTGTGAAGCCTGATCCAAGCTTTATCCGGTGACGCATGTCCAGTAAGTGTTTACCTATTGTGGAAGTTTGCGGCCTATGTGACCATTGAGTCTCAGCTGGGTGGAGGGAGGTTGGTCATTTTCACTTTGAAACCTCCTTGGCTCTTGCACCTTTATTCGGGCAACAGAAATCCTGTCGGTTCTGCCAAGGTATGTGGCTCCGATGTAGTACACGATTTCGTATATGCCGTGTGAGTTGACTCAGGTTGGTTGAGATACTTTGGTTGGAGACACCGGCAAATTTCAAGTTCGGTTAATGACCTCAACTTAAGCAGTAATGCAACTTCTCTGTGGTGGTCTTCACCAAATTAAAGTCCCTTTTAAAATATAACACTATATATATCTCTATAAAAGTTGCTGTATAAACCAAGTGCTTTGGGCGTCGTGGCGGGCTTTGTTTCTTCATAAACCTACGAGGATAACCATTAGTCAGGTGTCAATTTAATTTACTCTAGCTCGTAGATCAGATACTTGGCCGAGTAAATTTGTCCACTACTACTAATCACAGTATGCACAGATGTCCGCTTGTATCGCATTTGTATGAAATTGGTAAAAAAGTGGTATTGGGTACACCATGTTGCTTCCCTGTAGACCGACGTCGTAATGAGTCCGTCATCCGTGCGACTGATAAGAAAGTCCAAGAATAGTAGACAGATTTTCTTTTCCACTGCACTGGTGAACTGTAATTTGCATGTGGATTGTAAGGCTCATCTATAAACTGTCTAATCTGCTGTTTGACGAACAGAAGACTAATATGCCATCCATCTAACGCCTATGACATGCCATCTTGGCTAAGTCTGTAAATATGCCTCTTGCTAGAATCAGCATAAAAACTCCGCAATTATATAACCAAGTTGGACATGGTTTTGACGTTATACAGTGTCCTGAAATTGGAAGCCAACATTTTCGGTACACAAATGTAAGCATTTCTGTACAAATTCAAATTGCATTGGTAACGAATAAGCAATTGCTCAGGTAGTTCAGCTATGTGATCAACCGTGTGGAGTAACAAGATCCTGGTGGGCAGAGACTTCACATCCAAAGAACGGATGATCATCTCAGACAGACTGATGCTTTCAAGCAATCAGTAATTTACAATGAATCCTACAGACTGTAGTGGTTAAACAGTTGCTGCAGAGACAAAATATCTTCAATAGGAGATGAGGCAGTTATCACTGAGATTATTGTTCATTCAATGTGAAATTAACCAGCATCCCTCTCCCCACAGCTAAAATCCCATGCTCGCGTAGAACGCAAACATCCTCAATAGGTTACACATAACGGAATAGGTTTCGTCTGCGTTCAAAACTATGTTGCGTTAACCTAATCCCTACTTCCTCCGTTTCGCTTAGGATGCCTCAATAAGCCGGATGAACCCGGCTCTGAGCTCAGAAACAATTATTTGTCATTGGAGCAACTCTTTCCCGATGCAATTTCCACGTAAGACGTTGACACCAAAGGATCATGCACCTTAGTGTCGGACAGATTTATCTGCATATTGTCAAGTGCGTAATACAGCATACGTACAATCTTATAGCATTAAAAATTAATACTCATGTGCTACGACACGCTGAAGCGGTTGCGATCACACAGCTTGCCCCAAGTCTGTGTGTGACGATAAACGAGTTTGTCACACTGGATGTATCTTGGTATTTAGCGAATAGACAAATGTTAAAATTACCGGAATGTATATTACGTATCTGTGGGTACACATATTGGTGAATTTACCGTCTTGACAGTGTCAACACTTCATGACGTTAGAAATTTGTGTGTTTTGGGGTACTCACTTGGCAAAGTGCGAAGCAATGTACCCGGAATTAAATCGTGAGGTTAGTTGGTGTTAAGGTTTTTATGGAAATTTACTTGTGAGGTTAATTCTCTCATGGACATATGGGTGGGACTTCCGTGACGAAGTTCCGTCATTCATTTTTCACTTTATAGCTGTTTTCGCACACCAATATTCAAGTATAGAGTTGCATATTGGTTATTGTTAAGGATACTAAGCAGATAATCCGAGATGCATGCATCCACCAGCTTTCATATTTTTCTCACACTTTTCGTATATCAAACGTTGGGCCTAAGGAGAATTGATCAGTTATGAGCAGGCAATATACCTGATTAACGTAACCATTCAGTTTGATGCATAAGAGCAGAGTTAAAGTGTCAACATCATCAACTTACTTAGCAATAGTCGTGTAGAGGATTACAGTAATAACTGCCAACAAAAAGCAGACACCAAACGTAACAAATATGATATTGAGAACTTTCCGTAACCTAGGCATTTGAAGATCCTCCAGCTCCTCCTCATTATCATCGTCTCCAATGCGTTTGTCTTCAAGAAAGCGAATCAACCTATCCAATTTACTGTTTTTTCGAGGCCTACGGAACCGCTTCCGTTTCTTCTCTTTCTCCGCTGCCGTCACGTCAGTGTTGAGGCTCATATCCGCGACATTGGATCCAACCTCTGTGTCACCCCGATTAGCTAGCTCACCGTTGCTCTTCTCCGCACTTTTACTGAGCTGAGCCTTTTGCACCGGAGTGTAATTGTAGTGAGACAAATTCAGCATACCGCTGGGGGAGGCGAACAATGGTCCAGGTAGTTGATTCCATCCGGTAACGCTTGTTGTTGTCTTGGCAACAGTCGGATTCAAAGACCCCACTTGCGCCGAATCACCTTTGCTTGAAGTGTTAAGATGGTTGGTTGCGATCACGAAACCGGTCGCAGCAGTTTTATTCGCCACAGATAAACCCGACTGGTGACCTTTGTAAGTGGCTGGTATGAAGAAAGGTGGTACGTTTTTATCCAAATAAGGTCCCGAATTTGTATTCATCTCTTTAGCATTTTCACTTGTTGGATGCGACAATCGAATAACGGGAAAACATTTTCTTCCTAATTTGAAAGTTGTGCATAATCACATATCATTTCAAATGAGAAGTAGAGTATGTGTTGAAGGAGAAAATCAACAAATGGTCGGACGTTGTTGCAGCCCGCCATACGCAATTTATCCATGTAAGCTCCGTCATAGAGTCATTGGAGGGTAGTTGGACCAATCCGGTATTGTTCAGCCGTGAACATATCAGATGACTTGTGGCACTAGGTATTCGATCGATCGGGATGTCTGTCCGAAAGGGAAATGAGCCAATTGGACAGAATGACAATTACCGCTACCTATTGCATAGAACATTAGCAGTATTTACCGGGGATTTGAATATGCTACTGTAGTGAGTAAACTTTAGAGCAAATTTGCCCCACTAGGTGCACTGGGGCAAAGCACGAAAGGATGAGTGGCATCAGCATTAATGATTGCTGTTCACATAGACTCAGATTAACAGAAAGGGATAAGAAATAGAGTAGGATTGGAAATAGAGCAGTATAATTTGGAAAAAAATATATTTATAATTCAGAAGTAAATAATCATTAAATGAAGTTTATGCCATGAATGTTGTGAACTAATGACACTACAAATATTTAGTACATTTGCTCAAGATGTGACGCCATATTACCTCCACTTCCTGCAATCAAGCTGCCTGACGTAACCGAAAGATACATTAACCAGTACAAACTTATCTATCGTGTAGTTGGGAAAGTGAAGATGAATAGGAATCATTCGTATACAACCTCAACATCAAAACTACAGTCAGATTTGGGATGGCTACGGTCCCAGTGATCACAGTGACTAAGGTTCACTTCAATGTGAATCTCGGTCCATAACATTGAGAGTGCGCGTCGAAATCCAATCACGCAACGTGTAGTCCAAACTTGACCCTCCAATACAGTCGGATTTCCTTTGATAGGAACGTTTCCGTCAAGATTATCACTGAACTGAAAGCTGGGTTCCAAATCGTCGTGCTGGATTCTGTCCGGGGTTCCCAGTAAATAAATGCTAACGCTATTCGATGACAGCTGCTGCGTCTGTGACTCGCTTCACTGCTCCGGTTACCCAACCTTAATCATAGGTCTTTTTACGAAACCATACTTCGAGGACAGCGGTTAAGCAACAAGTGATATTCATGCACATGGAATTTGTTACCTCTGATCGAAGATGGTCAACTTTTCCGCGAATGTGCAGTATGCTTCACGAGGAATGACTTTCTGTTAGAGCTAGCACACACGCGGATGACATTAGAGAAAAAGTATCATAAAATCAACGCACGCACTAGACGACCAAATACGTCTCATTGGACCATAGATAGCAGATGTTAAGACTAATCAACAAGATGGTGTCTTGCAGTTTTCTTGTCCAAGCCAAATTGTCAGTTTGGATAAGGATACAGTCATTAGACATCATAATATAACAATTGGCTGATATATGCCACTTTACGGATACCATGATGGTTTTACTGCATGTGAAAGCCTCAGTGGCATATGAATGCGAATGATAGTCCAAGGTCCACCTATATCCGTCTCTTCATTCACTAGCCTCAGACAGATGAAATTAGTGACTTAGTTCTCTGCTGGATGGGTAACATCCTGTATCAACGGCATCTGAATATTTGAGTTCATAGCGCAAACTCTATCGGGATTCAGTGCGGTGGCATAGTACTTGGTCAACGAATATCTCTGGTTTCACAAACTATTTTTTGAGAGTGATACCTTCCAATGATTGCTCTTTGCTGATGATCTCATTGCAACGGAAAACCACGTAGTGCTTCAAGTTATACGAGCAAGTGACTCACAACCTACTTCATTTCATCGCTACCAAGTTTACAATGTTGGGCATACGGGTAAGGTTATGCAGCGCGCTTATATTGAATGCGACCTAGGTGTGTTGATGCAAAATAATATTTGCGTTTTCCTACACTCATTGAAAGAATCCAGAAAGTCCAACTAAAAGCTTGGCCTTATGCGGAGGGCATTCGGGAGTTTTGACCCTCCGTTAATCTTGCTGAAGGGAATACGTCGACCACTCCGACCATTAGGGGTTAGTATCTGTATTGATTTCGACACCAGAACACTTCAGACATATCATCCTTGTAACAATCGGGTTCGACAATATCGGCCTTGAGGCAGTTATTTGATCAGAGTAATACTCCGCCTCCGAACTTCTCACAAAAGCATGGAAACAGCTGACATAACATTTTACAGCATATAAAGCCGTGTGGTATTTTGTGATGTATAAATATACTCTGAACTGTACGTGAGTATAACATTTACAGCTGAAAATGTATAAAGCCCTTAGCCTGGAGGAATTATATGGCGGCTATAGCGCTTTGACGGTTTCACTGGAGTCGAGCTTAAGTGACTGCTGGCATACTCACCCGGTATATTTGCCTACTTGGCAACGCATTCCTTGGTAAATACTTAAAAATTCAGAAGTTTTTGACTACAATCTACCCGTAAGTGAAGCTCTAAATAAATATATTTATCACAGTATAAATTATCCGCATCCCATTCATTATCCATTATAAGATCCTGTTGATATACTTATTTGAGTGTTTTGTCCGAACCTAGGAAACCAGATAATACAATTTCGGTAACGAGTCCCACAGGAGTAATAGCGCAGGAAAGGAGAACTATTCTACAACTTTAATTATGGACACAATGAATGACACATCGGGGTGAAGAAAGTGATAGCATAGAAAATGGACACAAGAATCGGAAAACATTCGATTAAAAGAAGAAAAGGATCAAACAGCTTGGGACGCATCACTTAGACAGGAATTCACATGAACTTAGCTGTTTATCATAACTTGAGGAGTCAGGTTGAAGCACTTCTTGAGGAGGTCTAAGCCGTGTAATTTCAATGTGCCTCTAATCATCTGCGTCTAAATTGCTGGCTTATCTCTAGGTTGTAGTTGATATAATAAAGTTTCTGTAAATCATCAAAGCCAAGGTTGGAATTCAAGGCAATTTGCATGGAAAAAAGGATTTTCCACCAGTCAATCCTCATGAGAGGGCATAGCTAAAACCGATAAAATGAAATATTCCAAAATCATCACGCCATGAAATTATAATATCCTCTAACTATACCACAGATTTTTAGTGATACTTACCGTTAATATTAAACTGCTTGCACTTTAATGTGAAGATTCTTAATAAAAATATCAACAGAACTCCAGCAAACGTGATGTTTATTGTCTTGAATTTGGCAATGGTTCATCAAACATTGTGCCATTCATTATGTTTGGTCACAAGTCAAGATAAATCAACCTAAATATAGTAACCCAATGGGCTAGTTAACAGCATTTGCGCAGCTGAGTATGGAAGTTAATTTCAAGAAAACTATGCAAGCATGGAGAAACGCAGTCAGGTGTGTAGCATATTTACGACCTGCGTTTGGTCAATACACAAATGTGACAGCTAAGGAAGCATTGTATTGAGGCATGACGAAGTGCGAAAATGTACCTAAAGTTTGGACACGTAGGACAGAATGAGATCGTTTTTGAAATGTTAATATCCAGTTGATGTAATCGGTCATGTAAGGCGTTAAAATTTAAAGCCAATATTAAGATGTATAGAGTTGATCATATAAATTATATACTATGTAGATAAGCTGATGCGACTAAGATGGTGCTTTATAGATGGTACTGATATGGTGGAGACATTCTGAGTAGCCCAGTAAAAATGACGGGGGATCAGAGTAAACATTGTGGATACTTCATTAGGTTATATACTTAATTTAAAACAACGAGGTATTGAAAACAGTTTGCATCTGAGCGTTTATAAAGAATGTTTTCTGAATGTGCAAATCATTTTAAAAACGTATGTGGAATAATGGATGTTTTGGTACGTAAGCGTGCCTGCGTATTTAATTTGGTTAATCTGAACAGATGCTTTTCGTTAAATATCAGATAGGTGAAGACATTTTGAGTGACGGTAAGGTGCCGCCAAGAAGGAAAGATGTCTCACATCAATGAATCTGGAGGCGTAATGCATGATTGCTCCTTATGAATAAATCTCCGACAAAAATGTTAAAAACTTATTGTTGTATGTCATTCACCACAGCATATCGTCTGCAGCAAATTTGAATCCATAAAAGCGTATCATTGGGAGACATAAAGATAATGGAAACGGAGACAGGATGGTTTTATGCAAAGCACTCGGCACGGAGAACAGAGGTATTCTTAAATTTTAATTGGGTTAATGATTAATATCCGTCGAACAACAGCTTTCAAACACATGGGTGAACTCCGTTCTCAGAAAGTAGATTAAGCAACTTTGACCTATATAGGCTTCCAACAACATTCGAAGAAGGTTCTCGGACCCAAAGTCCCATAATAATCATAAGCTTAAACCACGGAAGGTAATGAAACTCGATTCCGACAGGTGCACAGGATTCTGTCGGCCTTCTAACTCATAAGACATTCACGTTTCGATTGAGCTTTGTACCTCAGGTAACATATTTTTCCGGCTAACGACCACAATTATAAGAGATTCAGCCTTTTATACCTAAGAAACATGCTGTTTTCCAGTCCAGCCTACGCATCTAACAACATCCAGTTTTCAAATGGTTCCGTTGGTATATTTGCGTAATGCCAACTCAGTTGCTTTCCTAGTTTAATTACGCAAACAATTGGCACCATCAAGGAATAAAAAAACGCTGGACTGCGCTATAATTGCCTTGAGCATGGCCTGTAAAATTGCCTATGCGAAAGGCTTGTCTTTTCTCCTGTTCTCCGGGGTTTGGGAAGCTGCTTGTGAAATTACTTTCGGTCTAGGAGCCCTTTCTGCTTGCACGTAGTAACCGTGTAGCGCCTAAGTTTCACAGGTCGTACAACTTCAAATTATGTCGGTTGCTTTGTCGTGTATCATATAGTTCCAAGCGACATTCGTTTGGCCGACTAGCAGAGTTCATACCAGGTCGTCAGAGCGTGGCATGACAAAGAGGCA